GATTTTCTGAAATAAAAAAGTGCATAAAATAAGTCAATAATGCATTTGTATTGTCAAAAGTGGTATCCAATCAAAAGCCAAACCTTCGATAATCAATAACACGATTATGAATAACAGCGCCGATACTGTCAAACCGATGAGCTCGCGGCCAATGCCCGCCGGATTCAAAATCAACGGATTTAAGTATTTACACGATGTCATCTGGTTGTAAAGCGGGGCGTCCGGGAAAAATGACGGCCACTGGTCGGGCCATTCGGTGGGAAACGTGTTTGAGGGCCAAAGATGGCCGGAAGACTCTCTAATCGCATCCATTTGTTTGGCGCACAACTGTTTGTTCACATTAATCATATAAATCTTTGTGAAGCCATAGTTTAACGAGAATATGGGTATCAATCGGAACGCATGTATTAACCACATGAAACCGTCCTCTTGTGTGGTGCCCATCGGTGTGGTCGGACCCGCTAACGCCGCCCCTGCCGTTGTAATCAAGTAAAGGCCCGAATAAATGGCATTTACAATGAAACCAAACACCAGATAAAACACAAGTAATAGTGAAAAACCGATTGGCGATGAGTTGAACCAAAAAGACAGACAATAGGCTATGGATATCGACGACAAACCAAATGCCAGTAACAATAGGAAGAAAGCGGTTCCCGACTGCCAGCCCTTGAAGAACGCTTGGTTTACGTCAAACATATAGACCACAAGTGATAATAGGGTTATCGCTAACAAGTGGTTCAATATATCAAACAAGTAGTTTGACAGCCAATACACGGCCGAAGACAGACCAGTCATCAGTTGCAGGGCTTTGGACTTCGAGACCCTCTCAATGATGGGGTATATGAGGTAAGAGGCGGCCAAAAATGGTAACGTAATCGGCATTAAGAGTACGCACGAGACGCCGGCGGCCATCATATTTTGGATCAAAGCATTGTAATACTCTTTGTCTTTACCGCTGCCGGTGAAGACCCAACTTTTGAGCGGTTCTACGATTGTGGTGATCGTGAAGTCCTTAAGTTTGAGCACCGATTGGCGGATATCATATTTTGGATCAAAGCATTGTAATACTCTTTGTCTTTACCGCTGCCGGTGAAGACCCAACTTTTGAGCGGTTCTACGATTGTGGTGATCGTGAAGTCCTTAAGTTTGAGCACCGATTGGCGGACGAGTGACTCATACATCAAGTTTATGGACAGCGGGAGTGAATGAGTGGACTCGTAGTTAAACCATATCTGGGGCCTAAGGGTACCGGACGTGTTGCTGACGGCGCCTCCCAACACATACTTCATCACGTATTGCTCAAAGTCGCGACTCTTTTCTAGCAGCCAATCCTTTGGATCAGTTTGTTTGGTCAATATGTTTGCGGTGATGCCGTGTCTCTCGGCGTTCGGTATGTAGTGATGGGCGCCGAAGTCGTGAGTCGTTGGGTCCAAGTCGTGGTAGAATCCAATCGTACGGCCGTATAGTTCCTGGAGATCGAGTGTAATTGACTTAGACTTCTCAGTGGCAACAGATTTAACACTATTATCTGCCAGAAAGACAAGTATGAAGAGTACGGCCGGAATGACGATCTGGAACAACAACATCGCCCAATGTCTGCGACTGTAATGGAAACGCTTCACCAGAAGACCCAATACTGACATTTGGATCAGTTTAAAGCCGTCCTCATTCTTGTACTGCTTCTCTATCTTCTCCTGCGATCCCTTCTTTCCGTTGTCCACCTCTTCATAGGAACCGACTTTAAGGAAGACGTCTTCCATTGTGGTCACAGTTATGCCAAATGAGTTGAATCCGAGCTCTTGTTTACGGCTCTCGAGTTCGTCGAAGAGTTTCGGGAATATATTTTTGTCGGTCTGTTTCGAGCGGTCGTCGGATTCGAGTGAATAAATCACTTCAGTATTGATCTCACTTTGAAGACGACTGTCCGGCAAATACTTCTTGAGAGTCGTGTCAACCGATTCTTTGTTATAGTTGTCTGTCTTTGCGATTCTGAGGTGATATCCGGCGCCGAATCGCTTCTTGAGAAACATCGGAGAACCGCAACACTTGAGCACTCCTTCAGACATAATCGCTATTCTGTCGCCCAATATCTGAGTGGACACAAAGTTCAGATAATTGACAATTCATGGCAAACAATGTGGTAATGATCTCACGTCCGCCTCTTCCATGTAATGAGTGGTCAGAAGTATAGTCTTCTCTCTGCGGACGTGTTGTAAGACATCCCAAATGGCTCGACGGGCCTCAGGATCCATACCAGAGGTCGGCTCATCCAGTATCAGGACTTCTGTGGTGCCGATGATAGCGATTCCTAGACTTAGCTTCCGTTTCATACCTCCGGAGAGGAGTGAACTCTTCCAATGCCTTTTGTCACTCAATCGGATTATTGTCAGCACTCGAGTGATTTCAGACCCAATCTTATCACTCGGAATGTCCTTCAGTACAGCATAGAGTTGGAGGTGTTGTTCAACAGACAAGTCATTGAAAAGTATGTTTTCCTTTAGAAATGCAACAAAAATTACTAATAAATTCAATCATAATTGACACAAACCTGTGGACAATAGCCGATACTCTTTCGGGCCTCACGAGTGGCGGTCGACACGTCGTAACCGTTGACCAGTATTTTGCCCGAAGAGGGAGGATATATACCGGTAATCATATTCATTGTTGTGGTCTTTCCGGCGCCGTTGTGTCCCAACAGACAAGTGATTTGTTGACTCAATATATCCAAAGACATGTGTTTAACACCTCTTCCGGCGCC